AATTCATGTGACTCATTTTTGTGATTTCTGCTTTATCATGGTAGTTTCGAAACATACCTACAATATCTCTGAGATGTTCCTGTAACCAGTGTCATCAGGGGGAAATACTTAACATCAGTTTGTTTATCAGTGAAAGGGACCTGGAAGGTGGAGGGTTGAGGGCATCCAAGATTTGAAGCAAGAGGAAGTGATCTATGAAGGTCTAGAATATACAATACTCTCGAGGAAAAGAAGCTGAGGAAAGCTGTTATGAATAGCCTCGAAACAAGAGTTATGATAACGAGAGGAAAAAAATCACATCTTCAGGCGCCACTTCTAATTCTAGTTCTTTTCCTGTCTCCACCCCATCTGGATATGCATCTAAGCCATGGAAAATTCTGGAAATTTTGGACTTAGGCCAAAAGAAGGAATGCCCACAGTTACCCTTTGCTAAGGGGTCTTCACTAAAGGGAGAACCAATTTTTTAGTCCACGCGTGTCTGGTCAGCATCCGGAACCCCGGCACTTACCTAAGCAGTGTAGAAGATTCCTTTTTTCCCATTTCCTTGACAACATTTGTTGTTGTTAGTTTTTTTTTTAATATGTGCCATTCTCACTGGTATGAGACCCCCTTTATAATTGAAACAAAAAAGATCAAATACCTGAGAATGAACCTAACAAAAGAGGTGAAGGACCTCTACAAAGAAAATTTTATAACACATTGTTAAAAGAAACAGAACAGGACACAAAAAAAAATGGGAAGACAGCCTTTGCTCATGAATTGGAAGAATTAACATTATTAAAATGACCATCCTGCCAAAAGCAATTTATAGAGTCCATGTTATTCCAATAAAAATTTCAAAGGCATTCTTCAAAGAAATAGAACAAATACTGATGAAATTCATATAGAGCCACACACACACAACAACCCTCGACTAGCCACCGCTCTCTTTATATTTTGTAACATGCTCTTTCACTTGAAGTTACATTCCTTTCCACATCAATAAATATACATCTGTAAGAACTAAATGGTAGCACCAAACTCAAAGGCGTCATATACCATTGTCTGCAGAGACTGTGATTTATCTCCCCAATGCCTACTGCTGGGCATTTAGATCTTTTTCACTGTTACTTACACTGCTGTGATAGACATCCTCACAGATAAATCATTTCATCCTTGCTGAATAATTCCTTGGATAGAAATGGAATTACTTGGATAGGAGGATATGTAATTTTAAGGTGTATCATACACATGGCAAAATTGTTCCAGCTAGTTATAGAGAGAAGTGACTCTTAGGTGCTCTATAATTTTTTTTTAAAGATTTATTTATTTGTGCATACAGAACTGGGGTGCAGGCCAGAGGCTCAGGGGCGGCGAGAGGCTTCACCAGAGACAGAGTGGGGAGCAGAACAGGCAGATCAACGAAGTACACTGCTGAGGGGAGCAGCGGACGGGTCAGGAGAGGTCTGCCACGCCATGTGGTCACCTCCGGGGCAGGCGGGGATCGAACTCATGCGGAAGTAGCTTAAGCTTCTTAGTGCTTTAACCCGCTGCGCCACCAGGGAGGGCAGCTCTATAATTTTTAATTGTGCTGATGTCAAATGGTGCTTGAAGGTGTCCTGACAAGCAGAGCTCTCCACCCATTGCCAGCCACTACCAATGCCTTATTATCATGGTAATTAAACAGTGGTCACAGTGAAAATGGGGGCTTTCAAATCATAATTGGGGGGCTGCTGGGGTGGTTCAAGGGTATTAAGTTCTGATACACTTTTAGGCCAAGTCGAGGATTTTGCTGCTAAATTGTTCAGCACCGATCTCATCTACCCAAGCTCAGTCTTTCATCATAGCACAGTTCCCTCATGCACAGTCAGGTCATTAGGTAAGATTTGAAAAGAAAAATGCTTAAAATTCACAGTGTCCATGACTGACTTCAAGCAGGGTTTCACTTCAAGCAGGGAAATAGTGTGTTTGTTCTTTTCTTGTTCATAAATATGTTTAATTCTCTATCTTTAAAGCAAGTTACTTTGGTCCCGTGGGAAGGAGCTAAAGAGTTGCTCACTAAAAAGAGGAATTAGAAAGAAGGCGACCTTGACTGCCAGTGTTTGATCGCAGCTCAACTCGTGCTTTCAATATTTCAACATCACTTTTGCTACCAAATACACTAATGGGGATCACTTGATCTCAATCCCCCCAGGAAAGGAGGAGGAAGGAAAAAAGGATTTGTTTTTAAAATAATTCTTATCATTTGATTGCCTTGGCATAGTGAAGGAAGGGAGATGATTCAGATAAAAATTATGTTGTTGCAGTTCACAGAAAACCCAATTCAAGCTGGTTTAAATGGTAAAGGAAATGTTCCTGAAAAGCCAAGTTCTAGTGAGGTTTGATCAGCCTTACACGGCACCATGGAACAAGAATCTGTCCTCCCTGACCTCATCTTCAACTGGAGACTGGGTCCTCTTGTGGGCACAAAAAGATAGCCAGCCGTCCCCACGCGGTCTTGCTTCTTGATCACGGTCACTGAGGAATGAGGATTTCCCTGCCTGTGACTCTTTTCAAGGTCTAAGAACCATGCTACTTAGAAGCCCCTTGCAAAGTCCAATTGCGTCTCATGTGCTCAAACTGGGCCACACAATCAGCACTGGACCAGACACCGATAGGGGCTGAGCTTGGTTTCAACCATTCAGACACCATCCCAAACGCTAGTACCACGAGGCAATGTGCTCCGGGAAGGAAGAGGAGCAGAAAGCCTAACCAGGGAACTGATATCAGGACAGAGGATGAAGGGGTACTTGGGGGTGGGGGGTGTCCATTATGAAGATGTTTTTAAAAGGACTCCCTGCGATCTTTACATGCCTCCTTAATCTGTCTCTCCATTCACTTTACCCCTAAAAAACGAATGGGTTTGCCCACTAGTTTCGGACAAAGTGTTGAAATAATCTGCTGTGTCGAGGTGACCAAAGTATTTACTTGTAATTCATTAGTACTAGCTAAAGAGATAAAGTTTATACAGTTCATCCTTGACTCACAATGGAATTACATCCAGATATACCCATCATAAAGTGAAAATATCATTAAGTGCAAAGTGCATTCAATACACCCAACCTACCCCATATTATGCTTAGCCTATCATTGAAATGTGCTCAGATCACTTACACTCTAGAACACTGTAGAGTGCAGTATCACTTATCTCTCATGCAGGGAAAGATCAAAATTCAAAGTACACATCCTACTGAATGCATTTCATTTTCACATACAGAATAAAGTCAACAGATGTAAATTGGATCATCCTTAAGTTGGGAACTCTCATATCTACTTTACCCTAGCGTAGGCTATCCCAGTGCTTTTGTATCCTACATACCTTACTGAAGGAACTGCCGTTGCAAGAACGCGGGGGAACTGACATAGCCTCTCTACCCTTATTCTGGGCTGCCTCCCAGGGGGCACACACCCATGAAAAAATGGTTGGGAATCCAGCAGGCCAATAACCATTACTTCCCACCACAACTCACCTTCCCCATCCCACATAAAAGGACCAGAGAGGCAGGCATCACAGCTCATTTTCATAGCTCCTATGGCAACCTCCTCCCACTTTCCCAGCCCCTTCTCAATTACTGGAAAATACTCTCAATACACTATTACCAATCAACCTTCATCAAATGTCGCTTGGCCATTTATTTCCTCTTTGTTTACTACATAATAAACTAATATGTAATGCAGATAACAGAAATCTCACTTGGGAGGAAATTGCTGCTTGTTGATGGTACATCCTTCCACAGCTTTTGATAAGTGTTTTTCAAAAACCAACATAATGCCATATAATACTTTGTAACACGTCTTCTCACTTGAAGAACTCAGACATCTCTATATATGCATAAATATATTCCATCATTACATTGTCGTATATTAACTGCTGCATGGTTTCCCCATCATTATTTAATCTGTCCTCCACCGTGAAAATGCACAAGTGATTTCCAAGAGTTTGTTCTTTGAGCAGCATCCTGGCGAACAATTTTGCTGGTGAACTTCTGAGCCCATGCAGGGATATTCCCTTAGGATGCTTGACAGCAGAAGAATCACTCATCCAAGGGCACCCACACCTTTATAGCATCCGGCACTCCCTGACAAGCTGCCCTTCCAAAAAGGCACCTCGGGGCAGTCCCCCACTAGATCCATCCGAAAGTGCCACTTTCCCCCTAATTTGTTGGCATTTCCTTTAATTTAAAAAAAAAAAAAAGCTAATGTTGTAGGAATTAATTTTGGGACAGGATAAACCAGATAATAGTCTTGTTATTGTTTCACCATATTGGCTGCTGAGAAAAGTGATGTTTATATAGGAATATAATCAACTTAACTCTTTTTTACGGTGACCTGGTACCAACCTCAAAGTAATGAATTTAAATCCTGTGAGGTTTCCCCTATGGTGAGGCAAGGGAGACAGATAGAAAAAAAAAAAAGTAAGAAAAAAACATGAACAGGTACCTGGCTAATTCACACACAAAATCAGAGCATGAGAGTTGGAAGGTGGGAAAGAGCACGCTTAAACTTTTACATTGATGTGATTCTGCTCTTCCAATGAGATGCCAGGAACAATGATCGTTAATTTCTGATCTTTTGCCTTACTTAGAGTAAAATGGTAGTAACAGAAGCCTCTAAAATGGTAGTAACAGAAGCCTCCATTTATCAAATGCTTGCTATGTCAGGAATTTGGCAATTAATTTAATCATCATAATTTAGGAATTATCCTCCCATTCTACTGAAGGCCCAGAGGCCCGGAGAGGTTGTGGATTCTCAAGGTCACACTGTCAGCCAGAGAGAACCAGAATCAGAGCTCAGGTCTACGTGTCTCCAGAGCCCATGTGGTTTCCACGGCATCACAGGGCGCCCCTTTGGGTGCAAAGAGGGTTCAGGGGCTCTGGACCCCCCCACAGTTGTTTCAGATGAATGATGAGCCTTCTATTTCTGGCCCTATTTCTGACAGTTGCACTCATACTTTTTTCTTTCACTTCTTGGCTTCCCATCAGGTCTTAGACAAGCCAATGAAGAGTATCAAGTATATGGACAAGGAAATAATAAACCTCAAAAAAGATCTTGTTCGGAGCCGGTGAGTGAGCCCAGCACAGACTGTCCACTGTTAAAACATATAAACAACCTGGCCAGGATGAGCTGGCTATGGGAGGTGGCTGCAGTCCTCGCCAAGTGCCAGGGGACCCCAGCCCTCCACATTTCGCAGAAGACTACAGGAGGGTAAGCCTATAAGACCCATGTCTTGCTTGCTCTCAAGGAGCACTGGGGCCAAATTCATCTCCCCACTCCAGCATGCTGGTCCTGCCTAGAATCCCCTCTGCTTCCCCGGATCTGAATCCAACCTAAGTGGGGGCAGTTCTCATTTACTCCAGAAAAATCTCCCACCTTCACTCCAAGACACAGCATGGCTGGCGAAAGTCAAGTAGACTGGGTCTCAAATATTGGCGTGCTACCTGCCAGCTGTCACACTGGAAGAGCTGCTAACCCCCCTGAGTCTGTTCCCTATAAAGCACAACTAGTGAGCTGTGAGCAGGACGGGGGACAGAATGCATGTACAATGGCCCCAAATACAATACTGTCCTCATCCCCACCCCCAGCACCTTCCTCCATGACAGCAAGAACAAACTGAGGGCCAGAAACCTATTTTATTCATCTCTGTGTGGCGAGGTTAGCATCCTCCCCGCCCCCACCCCTTAACTCCCCCTTGGGACTTGGAATGCTCCAAGTTGGTATCATAAATGGGCTTTTGAAAGCAGAGTGAGAGATGGAGATTCTTGTGGCACAGAGCACAGAGAGGTGTGCTCACAGGGGACCGCATGGACCATAGGGAAGTCCCAAGTGAAGCGGCTATGTTGGTTCTCAGGGGTCTCAGACACCCCTTGTCCAGCTGAAACATAAAGCAAATTGTGCATGCAATTCTGAGCTTTTGAGTAACCACTTTTAAAAATGGTCACAAGAGACAGGTGAAAGTAATTCTAACAATATATATTATTTAGCCCAATATACCCAAGCTGTTAGCACTCAGGATGTCATCAGTATTTTAAAGTGTTAATGAGGTACCTGACATCCTTTTCCGCATCTGAGTAAATGGTAGAAAAACCCAGCGTCATTTACATGTAGAGCACATAGCAATTTAGCACCACCACAAGCCAACTCAGCAGCTGTTATGGACTAAACCATGTCCCCCACCCCACGCCACCCCCAAATTCCTATGTGGAAGCCCCACGTAACTAACCCTCACTGGGACTGTACCTGAGGGGGCTAGTAAGGATAAAATGAGGTCACAAACGTGGGCCCCTAACCTAGCAGGACTGGCGTCCTTACAAGAAGCACAAGTCACACCAAGAATGTACTCACAGAGAGGCTGTGTGAGGACATGGCCGCCCAGGCAGGGCAAGCAGGCAGACAGTCCCCAAGAGAAACCAGCCCCACACCCAGACACCTTGACCCCAGCTTCCAGCCTCCAGGCCAGCAAGGAAATCAGTATTGGTTTGGTGGTTTAGGCCACTCAGTCTATGATTTTCTGCTAGGACAGTCCCACCGGCTCACACTCATGTGAAGATAATCCCCAGCTCCAGAGCTGGTAGAACTCATTCCCAGTCTCCCGGGAGCACAAACCCAGCAATAGCATGTGAGCTGAACCCTCAAAAGCAAGGACTGAAGCCCCCAAAGGCCCAAAGAGTGAAAATGCTGGCCACTATGGTATTTTAAAGCCAAGCTAGAAAGGTTTTAAGGTGGATGGCTTGGGGTTGCTGGAGCCCCAGGGACTGGAGCAAGGTTCAATCATGAAGTCAAGTTGTTATAGGGAAGATTGAGGGGCACTCTAGGACCCTCCCAAATCCGTACCTAAAGACAAACATACTTTTAGTGCAATCAGACCTGCAATAGAAAAGAAATTTTTATTACTTGCAAACATCTCTGGTGGAGGCCAGGGGTGCAGGGGGTGAGAGGATTTACCAGACACACAGTGGGGAGCAGAACAGGTAGATCGACTGAAATACACTGCTGAGGGGAGCAGCGGGCAAGACAGGAGAGGTCTGCTGGGCCATATGTGGGTCAGCTCCCTGGCTGGGGATTGAACTCATGCCGTAGTGACTGCAGCTAGCTTCATAGTGCTGAGATTTAACCCCTAGGTTTGAACAGTGTGATAAAGGGTGGCTTTCCTGGCACCCTGAGTTGGCAAGCTGAGTCTGTGACTCCTGCCAGATGCATTTGCCGCAGAGCTGAAACTAACAGGAAGTTAACATCCTCATTGGACAGGGTTAGCATGTCCAAGCACCTGATGTGAAGTGGGGGGAAAAAAGGAAAAACAGACAGAAAAGCCACAAGCAAACAAAGAACAAAAAACCCAGAAAGGACAATAGTAGCTTCCCCATGGCCACATTCCTGGACCACACGGACATGCAAGGAACCAGCAATTCCACCTTCGAAGAGAACACCCTGCGTTCCAGAGCCAGTGACTTCTCCAGGAGGCAGACTCCATGACCCCATGGCCCAGCACTAAATGAGGCAATTAGCAAAGATGCTGTTGTTCCCACTTACTATTTTTCAAATCCAGTTTAGCTCCTATGTGACTCCAGCCCACCTTGCACAAACACCTCGACTACCTCCTAGATTTTTACTTAATACTTTAGCCCTCTTATAATTCAATTGCACCATCCCCGGTTTCACGGCCAATTTAACATAATGCTAAAAAGAATAAAATTCTAACTGCTTCCTCCTCGCCTGTGCCACCAGATGTTGGAAGGCACGAGGCAGCAGCTCCCTCCCTCCCTGCCCAGTTTCGCCCAGCGGAAGTCGACAGTGCTGGCTTCTGCACGTGCCAGCTCTGGGCTGGCTCTTGAAGCCAAAGACACACTTGGCTGCAAAGCTGCCAGCGCTCTTTACTGCCAATGTTTTAAGGAAAATAAAACTTTCTGCAACGAAAACAATGGAAATGCTGAACCCAGTGCCCATGGAAAAGTGCAGTTAGGGGCTGGCAAATCAGCAGCGTGAATTTATCCCCCCCACCCCACCCCCATCAGGCCTAGCAGGGTACAGATATCACAAGTGTCTCTGCTTGTGAGGTCTCTGCTTTCCAGATGCACTGGGTAGACAACTAATGCAAGGCAATTAGAAATAACCAAGGTGGGGTCCCCCTGGCTCTTTCTTATACTCTGGGGCTCATTCATTCCCCCCCCCCCCATGACTATTTAGTGAATACCAGGTATACACCAAGTACACCTGCATCTATCAGAGACAGGGCAGGAGGAAAGAGACATAATTCTGTCCTCAGTGAATAAGAGATAATGAAATTGTAACAGGGTGGTCCCCAGGCAAAGGGGAAGGTGGAGCAGGGCAGGGAGAAAATTCGAGAGAAGACTGGGGAGAAAGCAGCAAGGCGATCCAGAAGAGGACCTGGAAGAGACACAAAAGCAGAGACATGAAGAAGCTACTCTTGCTTCTCGGCCTTGGGCTTGTGCCAGGGTCTGGGGAGACATGGAAGTGTTACTGGGCAGCATGAGAGGCATCCCAGGATCCTCCAAACCTGCTTGCATTAACTAGGTTCTGCCCCCCGACATATACTCTAAGGCATAAGACTTTAATGGAAAGAAACTTTAATACAATCAGTGTGTAATCAAGAGAAGGGAAAGAATCATTTCCAAATCAAGCACCCAAAGTTACCCAACCCCTCCAGGGTAAATGTTCAGACAAACAGGGTTGGCCCAAAGCAGGACCACTAAGGCCCCAAAACTTGCCACAAGTCTCAAGCACCTTCTGGTGGGGACCCATAGGCAATGGGTAGCAGGGGCCAGAGAAGTCTGGAAGGAAAAGAGCAAAATCAAGATCAAGATCAAGGCTGCCACTGTCAGCCTCCCCACGGGTCTCTCACCCACGTCTGTTCTAAGCGTCTCCCGCATGAAGATGGTCACCACCTGGGCTGTGCCGGGTCCCCTGTCCTAGTCCCCAGTGTTTATTGATGGTGTAAATTAAGTCCCTTCTCCATCCCTAGAATTTAGCAATTAAAAAAATATGTGGGCAGCCTGTGTATTTGCTTCAAAGAGGAAGCAAGTGAAGCAGATGACATAGAATAACCTATGTAAAGCAGCAGTCTGTGAAATGATGGCCCTCTGCTATCTACATCCACATGAAGCCACAGGTTTCCCCTTCTCCCGCTGTCACTGCAGCAGGAGTCTCCTCGCCAGCTTTAAAAGCTGCACCTGGAAGGAGAAGGTGTCCTGTTGCCCTAGAGCCTGGCCTGTGACTCCCCAGGGACTGACTAGTTCAGTGCCTGGCATCAGGGCAAACCCTCGATAAATATCTAAAGCTTCTACTTGCCTAGCACCTTAAGAATCTTCTCTGCATCAGACAGCAACGGTCTTATTAACCCATTTATCAGATGAGAAAATAGACTCAGAGAAATTCCAAGATCTGCTTGGAGTCACTGTATCTGTTAGCTATAACCTTGAAAACGCAGCAAATCAAAGCAATACGCATTATTGGTGCCCACAGCTCAGTGGAAGCTTCCCTGGTCTCAGCAGGGCTCCCTTGAGCATCTGTCATCAACTAAATGTCATGCAGGTCACTCTACTGGCCCTGGCTGGGTGTCTTGTGTGTTTAGAGGACATCTGGTCACAGGCGGGTCTGGCATGGCCTTGGCTGGAACAACCTGCTGTGTCACGCTCCAGCAGCATCCCACGACTGGTTCTCATGGTGGCAGGATTCTGAGAAAGATGGAAGTGGTGGGATGCTTAACCTTTAGGGTGGCAGATGACAAAATATCACTGCCACCGCATTCTTGTGGCCAGGACAATTCCCAAATCCAACCCAGATTAGAGGTGGGGATAAACTCTACCAATTGATGGGAAGTCAAATTCCAAAAGGGTGGAGGATTTGGATTTGGAGTCTTGTTGTTGTTGTTTTTTCAATCTACACAGTTGAGAGAGCCAGCACTGAGCTGGTCTGTAAGACTTGTGTGAAGGTGAAAGTAATCTATACAGATCAGTCTCCTGCTTGGCATGTCAAGTAGAAGCCATGTCAAGAACCCAGTGGGTAGTAGTGGAGGAGAGGCTGAGAGACTATAAGAAAAAGCACCAG